TGTGTTTACATCAATGCTTGTTGCTCAAAAAAAATATCCATAAAAATATCCATATTTTAACATTTGTTAATAAAGATGAATAAATATGGGGCACCACTCTGGAATCAGGGACCTATAACCAGATCTCTGAAGGGTTTTCCCATCTATAAATGCCAATATTTAAACACTATTTCACATTAATAAGGTGGACAGTGAAGGATGAATCTGAGCACCCTGAACGTCACAACCAGCTGTTATTACAGCACAATTCACAAAGAACCACAGGCAGCTGTTCTTTAAAATTTTTTATTTATTTTACAACATCTTCAGTCAACAAATCATTACAATTTATTCTAAGCAGAAACAAAAACATACAGCAATCAGCAAGCATATACAGTTGCAAGAAAGAGTATGGGAACCCTTAGGAGTTACCTGGATTTCTGCATAAAGTGGTCATAAAATGTGATCTGATCTTCATCTAAGTCACAACAATAGACAAACACACTCTGCTTAAATTAATACCACACAAACAATTACAATTCATGTTTTTATTTAACATTCAAAGTGCAGGGTGGAAAAAATATGTGAACCCCTAGGCTAATGACTTCTCCAAAAGCTAATTGGAGTCAGGAGTGGGCCAACCTGGAGTCCAATCAATGAGACGAGATTGGAGGTGTTGGTTATAGCTGCCCTGCCCTATAAAAACATGCATAAATTTTTATTTTGCTATTCTCATGAAGCATTGCGAGCCATGCCTCAAAAAGAAGACCTATGATTAAGAATTGTTGACATTCATGAAGCTGGAAAGAGTTACAGAAGTATCTCTAAAAGCCTTGATGTTCATCAGTCCACAGTAAGACAAATTGTCTAAAAATGGAGAAAGTTCAGCACTGTTGCTACTCTCCCTAGGAGTGGACGTCCTGCAAAGATGACTGCACAGCACAGAATGCTCAACGAGGTTAAGAAGGATTATTGAGTGTCAACTAAAAACTTTGGTATTATGCTAACATCTCTGTTGATGACTCTACAATACGTCAAACACTGAACAAGAATGGAGTTCATGGAAGGACACCACTGAGGAAGCCACTGCTGTCCAAAAAAACATTGCTGCATGTCTGAAGTTTGAAAAAGAGCACCTTGATGTTCCAAAGCACTACTGGCAAAAGATTTTGTGGACAGATGAAACCAAAGTTGAGGGGTGATGCAACAGGACAACGACCCAAAGCACAGAAGTAAATCAACAACAGAATGGCTCCAGGAGAAGAAAATATGCCTTCTGGAGTGTCTTGACCTCAACCCGATTGAGATGCTGTGGCATGACCTCAAGAGAGTGATTAACACCAGACATCCCAAGAATATTGCTGAACTGAAACAGTTTTGTAGAGAAAAGGTCCAAAAATCCTCCTGACTGTGGTTCAGGTCTGGTCTGCAACTACAGAAGATGCTTGATTATGCTGCCAAAGGAGGGTCAACCAGTTATTAAATCCAAGGGTTCACATACTTTTTCCACCCTGCATTGTGAATGTTTACATGGTGTGTTCAATAAATACATGAAAACATAATAGTTTTTGTGGTATTAGTTTAAGCAGATTTTAGTTTGTTGTGACTTAGATGAGGATCAGATCCAGGTAATTCCAAAGGGTTCACATATGTTTTTCTTTAACTGTATATGTAAGTATATGTGTACAGGACAATAAAGGGGTAAGAGCTAGTATAATGGCAGATGTGGGTGGCTATGTCACACACTGACCCACAATGGTGGATACATTATTTCTGCACTCACCAAAATGGCGTGGAGCACAGTACCTTCACTCTATCACACAGCACCTAGCAGTGAATTTGCACACACTCAGCAAGTACTGGACTTGCTGAGTGTGATAGGGTATTGCTATTGTCTCTGCGCGCAGTAGTAAGAGCTAACACAAGCAAAACAAAAATCCTAACCACTGCAGTGAAACACAATAACAGGAACCAACAGTGAACTTCTATACCTCACCAGTTTTCAGGTCCATATCTAGTGGAAAGAAAACTTAGTGATACTGACTATGTGATTCAAACCCCCGATAGGAAACGAAAATCCAGAGTATGTCATGTTAACATGCTTAAGAGTTGTTTCCAGGGAGAGTGTTCCTCCGCCACCTCCTGCGGTACCGGCTGTGGATCTGGCTCGTTCACAGTACGATCCTGGTGATGACAGATTGTTGAGAAAAAACTGGTGCAATCCCCATTGCATGGTAGGGAAATTCGGAGATACTGAGTGATTTGGAGTCTTTTCTGGCTTATCTATCGGACTCTGCTCGTGCTGACATTATTAATATTTTGCTTTTCTCTGATCATCCCACTCAAACTTCTGTTTTGTGTCATGACGTTGATGTAGAAGGTCATCTAGCTATTAAACAGGGTTAATCCAACTAAGAGGGCTCTGATGCAGAGAGAGGTGAGTTATCTTGTTGGTTGTTAACATGGTTTGGCTGTTCCTAGCACAAGTGCTTGGAACTCTCTCTGTGTGTTAGTTCCCAAACCTGACAAACCGCATTTCTGTAATGATTACAGGGTAGTTTCGTGTGGCGTCTGGGCCCCTAGACCGGGCGTAACATGATACATCATACAAAAGATGTAAGAAGCATGTGCAGTAAGCACAGCAAAATAGTCTGTTTTCCCATGGATATATTCTCCGACTTGGCTGACAGAATTCTGCATATCGTGGCTGCACATCCAACTGTGAAAAACATCATATTGCATATAGGGACCAATGATGTTGTGAAGCAACAACCTGAAGTGTTGAAACTGGACTTCAGCTCTCCAAATGGTGAGGTATTTGTCAGTGGCCTCCGATGCCAACTCAAAAAACAGTTGAGAGCAGATTGTTGGCTCTTAGCTGCATGTTCCATCCATTCAGTGCATTTTCAATTTCAACTTTTTCTGGGACCACAGACATCTTTTTAAGGCAGATGGCCTTTGCCTTAACAATCCAGGAGTAAAATTGTTCAGCTCTAACCTTTTTTACTTCCTGCATGACTCCTCTGTTCCCTCTGCTGTGGACAAGAGACAAGACAAATCAAAACAAGACATAACACAACACGCCATAAACCTTGAAGGAGAACCACCTCAACCCCCACCTGAATAGAGCTCTGATCATGGGAGACATCAGAGATGAGAGGAAGTCTCCACCCCCCTTACTAACAACCACGTGTGAGGATTCACATTGGAGCTGCTGTTTTGTTTGAAGGCTCACTCCAATGCAAGAAGATGTCTTATGGAAACTTTGCTTCTTTTGAATATGTGACTCTTCAGTTGAATTCCTCTTCTCCAACTATATTTCTAAATATCTACAGATGCATCTCAGAAAATTAGAATATTGTAAAAAATTCTGTCTATAATCTGTTGACTCTGACTATGTAGTTACTGTTGGTGATTTTAACATCCATGTTGACAACCCTCAGGACAGACACTGCATTAAAAAAAGCAGGATTTTAATCCCTGGAAACTGCCTTGAATTATCGGCTGTTTATTGCTGCATGTTCGCGTTCACCTGTGCTAAAAATTGTCGGAAACGTACCTAAACAAGCAGCGTGGGGTAGGGGGATGTCGGGGGGCCGGCAGAACGACTCTTCTCACCATATGAAAAGTAGCAGACAGCAACAGCAGACCAACTTTGATTCTCAGTCATTGGATGAAACAGTAAAAAAATAATAAAACAACACAGTAAAAAGTTTGTTACTTACGAATCCAAGACCAAAATGGATGTTCCCACCTCGTTATAATACAATGCATGCCTATTCTGTAAATCTTACCCTTGCGCAGCAATTTCCCTCAGAGCTGTGCAGGAGACGGTGGCTGGTTTTAGCTTATTAGTAACCAAGTCTTACCACAATTTTTGGATTGTTCACTCGTCTCACACGCAATTGTTGGATAGGACCATCGACTATATGATTGATAACAGCTGATACTCGCACATTAGTTTCTATCATCTGTGTACTAAACTTTACAGTGTAGTTATGTTAACACAGCATATCGTTAGTGAACACTCAGAAACAGCCGGTCATTTTCCGGTTGCCTTGGTAATTGATTACGTCCGACTATTAACCACACCCCCATTCTCTGTTTGAGAAAGAACGTTATTGAAAAACGGCAGTTAAAACTGACTGGAGGGGGGGATTTAAGAACAGTCATTCTCTCCTCCTGGCAACATTCTGGTGTTTACTGCAGACTAAAGAACTGTGTTGTCTTCTTGATAACTATGGACTAACTTAGCATGAGACGGAGCCCACACACAATAAAGGTCACACTCTGGACTTAATCATCTCCAAGGTTCTGAACATTTCAAGTTATGGTGACTGATTTTGCTCTCTCTGATCATGCCTGTGTTTTTATTTTTGAGACTGCTTTCTTCATGAACACAAATGTTCAAACTGGGGTAATCACAAAATGGCATATCACTGAAAACACCAATGAAATATTTATTCAGGCTCTCTTCAACACCTGCCATCTCATGGGTCTCAGTCAGTGAGCTTGTAGATAATTTCAATTAATGACATTATGCAGCATCTGTAATCCTCCTCCTGTTGCTTTGATATTCTGCCAGGAGGCTTTTTGAAAAATGTTTCTAATTGCATGGCCTCAGATCTTATACAAATTGTTAACATGTCTCTTTCTCTCAGGTTTCTTCCCACGGGCCTTGAAAACTGCAGTCATCAAGCCACTGTTAAAAAAAATAACAATCTAGACATGTCAGTGACAGTGGCAGAATTTCAGTCTTAGTATTATTTGATCTCAGTGCTGCATTAGACAGCGTTGATCAATTAAATTATAAAAATAAACAAAAACAAGTAAATTGATTTGGATATGAAACAAGGCAACCCTACATGTAGATACAGCAAAAACTACTTATTTATTTTTTGGTTTTGGAAAGAGAATAAATCGTACTTCTCCTATCAACCTCTCTGGGTAGGATAATATCACTCATTCAAGGATGTTTTTTTTTTATCCCTCCCATCCCTTTCTCTTTGACAATGTTCCAGGTTCACATAACTGTGATGGACAACAACGACAATGCTCCCATCTTCTCCCAACCAACTTATGATGTCACTATTTCTGAAGATATACCACCTGATACTGAGGTAGTCCAGGTTCTGGCATTGGACTGCGATGAGAATCACCAGCTAATCTACTCTCTGCAGAGCTCCATAGACCCCAATAGCATGCATTTGTTCCGCATCCACCCCACCCTGGGCACCATCTATTCTGCTCAGAGGCTGGACCATGAAGCCTGTGCCCAGCACATCCTCACTGTCATTGTAAGTATATGTTACTGTCTCTGCCAATGGCTTATTTCGTATTATTTTACTTGTGCTAGCAGCTGTGACTCTTCTCAGTTTCTACTAGGGATGGGGATCGATACCTGGTTCTAAAAGGACCCGGTCCCAAACTTTCTCAAAACCATAAAATCAATAAGCTTATTGATACTACTATCGAGACTAGCGGGTCCTATAATGTAACGTTATGCTTTGAGTGTCAAATCTGAATTAACTTGAAACGCAATGAATCAGAAAACTAATGTTTATTTATTGTTGAAACTGAAACGTGGTATTAAACGGCCCCGGGACTGTATCATCAGGTTGCAGCCTCTGCTGCTCTCTGTCGGCTCCTACCTGCACACACCGTGCCCAGCAGAGAGAGACGCCGCGCTGTCAAACGACGGCTCACTTGACCACAGGTGAAGTTAAGTTAGCTCCAAACTACTCGAGTTGCCCACAGCTACGCTCGTTTCTGTAAGTACGTGCAATAAAACCTTCTTGAGTAAAAAGACAATATTTTATTAATACAACTGTGTGTAGGGTAAACATGTGGAAAGATTCATTTAAAATGCTCTGTCATCAGTCTCTAATCCTGTTTGTTTTATACAAGCACAGCTAACGTTAGCTTGGCATTAGCCAAATGTTACAAACAAGCTAAATTGAAAGCAGATTGTAACATAGACTGGTCTGTAGTCTTAAAATTTGGCAGTATTGTGATGTCACATATTTGCTTTATATAGTGACATTGCTGTTGTAAACATTAATGTTGCTGCTCTAGAAAAAATATTTAGTTGTATTTAAAATATTCAATTCTAATCCTATAATTAATTTAAAAAGGCAGCTAATATGCACATGTCATGATATGTCATCTCAATATATAACAATGTTATTGCACATTGAATATTTTCCTCATACCGTGGAGGCCTACCTCATGCCCGTTGGATCTGGTCTTACCAAATAACCGTCACCAAATAATAGTATATAGTAAGTATCAATAGTGGTATTGATAAAGACTTGAATCGTTAAGCAGTCTCAATAAGGGTATCAATATCAATTAAACTTAATGATCCCCATTCCTGGTTTCTACTGAGGGAGTCCAATCTGTATTGTAAGAATCATAGCCTGGGACATTCATCCTGCAATTATAGCTGCATGCCATAATTAGTTTCTATACTGCAGAATAGGGGTATAATGTTACCTGAAATGGGGGGGCTCAATATCTATCTCTTTGGGCTCACATTTGGTTTTGATATGTTTTCAGCACACCAGGAAAAACAAAGATTTGACGTATCAAAATTCTTTTGATAACTTTTGATCAGCGACGTCCATAGATGATCCTGCCAAAGTTTCAGATCGATTGGCAAATCCATCTGGGACGAGTTCACAATAATAGGTTTTACAGAAAAGTGATAAAAAAGTTACATAATTTGACATTTTTAGAGCAGAAGACTCCTAAAATGTGGTTAGAGTTTTTGAGATAATTGCAAAAACGCAAAGTTGATTGTTATAGCACCACCATGAGGTCTATGAGGGCCATTTTTGTTTGCCTCAGTAGTGGGTGGAATTTGCAACCTACGTGCCAATTTTGGTGAGTTTTCGTCCAGCAGTTTTTGCTGCCCAAACACTTTTAGCGGAGAAAAAGAAGAAAGAAGAAGAAGAAGAAGAATCAGAACAAAACCAATAGGGCTCCAGCAGCTTCGCTGCTTGGATCCCTAAATGAATACAAACACACACATACACACAGATTCTTCTGAGTCTGAAAAATTTAAATCCATGTAGTCCATACACACCAAAAAGCTGAAAACTTACACAGCATGTTTCAGCAGTACATTTCTCATTAGCCTTGAAGAAAAGTCCAGTTTGACATTCACTGATAACTGATGACTTTCATCTGGCTTGATCGATAGATATAATTGAGTATCATCTGCATAACAATAAGTTTATGGAGTGTTTCCTGATAATATTGCCTAAAGGAAGCATATCATCATTAACATGTACAAACTGAAATCGATCTGATAAATAGGACTTAAACCAGCTTAGAGAGGTTCCTTTAAAGCCAATGAAATGTTCCACTCTCTGTAATAGGATCTGATGGTCAATGGTGTCAAATGCAATACTAAGATCTAATAAAACCAGTACAGACACGAGTCTTTTGTCTGATGCAATAAGGAGGTCATTAGTAATTTTCACTAGCGCTGTCTCTGTGCTATGATGAACTCTAAATCCTGACTGAAATCCTCAAATAAACTATTACTATGTAGAAAGTCACACAGCTGTTTGGCGACTGCTTTCTCAAGGATCTTAGAGGTTTAATGTCAGCTAAGTGTTGACTAAGGGTAAAACGTCTTTAAGCAACCTAGTCGGGATGGGGTCTAAGAGGCAGGTTGATGGTTTAGATGAAGAAATTATTGAAGTTACTGAGGGAAACAAAGCAGTCTAAACATATTTCTGGTTTTACAGCGGTTTCTAAGGTTCCTGAGTTTAGAGATAAGTTGGTGCCAGTTGAGGGCAGGTCTTGGTGAATTTTGTTTCTAATAGTTAGAATTTTACCATTAAATAAGCTCATGAAGTCGTAACTACTGAGAGCTATGATTTGGGAGGGACTGAAATTAGCATAGGAGTCCTCCGTTACTTTGTGACTTGATAATGAATTTAGAGCTGATGGAATCGCATCCTTAAATTTAGCTAAAGCACTATCAGACAGACATCTTGTATAGAGATTTTTGCCCAATGGCGTGTAGTTCAGCAATACAAACTCAAAAGTTATCAAACAGTGGTCAGATAAAGAGGGATTCTGTGGGAACACTATTAAATGTTCAATTTCAATATCATATACCAGAACAAGGTAGAGTTTGTGGTTAAAACAGTGAGTCGGTTCATGAACACTCTGAGAGAAGCCAATGGAATCTAACAAAGAGATAAACACAGTACTGAAGCTGTCACTCTCAACGTCCATATGAATATTAAAATCTCCAACAATAATAACTTTGTAAATTCAGATAAGAATTCAGAGTACGGACCAGGTGCTCGGTACACTATAACGAAGAGAATTGGTTGCAGTGATTTCCAACTTGGGTGCGAAAGACCAAGAACAAGGCTTTCAAATGAGTTATAGTTTAGTTTAGTTTAGGTTTAGAGCTGATTAATAGGCTAGAGTCAAAGATAGCTGCAACTCCACCTCCTCGGCCTGTGCCTCGAGGAATGTGAGTATTAATATGACTGGGAGGGGTGTATTCATTTAGGCTAACATATTCTCCATCACCCAGGCAGGTTTCAGTAAGACAAATTAAATCAATATCATAATCTGATATTAGTTCATTTACTAATACACCTTTAGAGGAGAGAGATCTGATGTTCCACATTTAATTCCTATTCTTTTGCACTATTGCACAACCACTTGGTGGATTTAATTTCTATGAGGTTTTTATGCACACTTCCTCTTCTGTTTACCTTTGATTTAAATAATTTCAATGGTCAGGGGACAGACACCGTCACTATAGGGTTTTCACTAAGTAACTCCTGGAATGGAGGAGCAGAGAAGTGTGTTAGACTGCGACTCTGCGTAGGGTTTTGGGTGGGTAACTGCTGAAATAGAAGGGCAGAGAAGTGTGTTAGACTGCGACTCTGCCTCCTGGTCTCAACTCTGGGTTGTCATGGATTTGGTCCACTAATAAACTTGGCCGGATTTCTAGATATAAGAGCTGCTCCTTCCCAAGTGGGATGGATGCCGTCTCTCCGGATCAGACCAGGTCTTCCCCAGAAAGTCATGAACAATTTTATTTTTAGGAAACATCTGATGAGCTTGCTGTTATTCCCCTCCCTCCGTTACCTATAACCTGCCTACATAACATGTAGTATCAGCTGACAACAAACAACGGCAGCTGCTGAGCCATTCATCATAAACTTTGGCTTTAAAACTTCATACAACAAGGCCCAAAATAGGTTAGTAACCTGAGTTTGGTAAACATGTTTAGCTCGGCATTGGCCATCTAACGTTAGCTTGCTTCTTGCTTTAGCTATGACCTACGGGAGGTTAACTCCAACTGTCGTTCGTTATGAAAAGATGAATGAGCGTTTGTTCGCTTGCCAAACTTGTGGCAGTCGATTAACGTAATCATTTACATCCCGCTGGCTGCCATCACGTTAATTATTAATGCTGGCTGCAAACATGTTACAGGTGTATTTTTGGTAAAGCTATAGTTTTATTTAGTTAACATTATACTGGTTTGAGAGTCTGGGGTCTGTTGACTTACAGGAGTTAAGCTTTCATTAATTGCAGATTTATTAGGCTACATGGTTGTGCTCTCTGTAAGTGAAAAACAGGTTACATATTTATTGTTGATCATGTAATGTTACTGTTTTATTTAGTTAATGTTACACTGGGTTTGAGAGTCTATGGTTGGTGTTGATTTACTGTAGTTAATAAGATGTCATTATTGCATTGCATATTACATGGCTGTGCTCTGTAAATGAAAAATAGGTTACAGTTACAGAATTCCTTATAGCCATGCAGTTTTATAAGCAGCTTGGATTGAACGCAGCAGGTGAAACAACATTCATTATAACCACGAGAGACTTGAGACTTGACTTGGACTCTAGCTCAGAGACTTGTGAACATCTTTGTCATATCTGCTTTGACACATATTTGTGTAAAGAATGAATAACAAAGGTGACAACACACACTTTTGTGGGGAACCAAAATACCATTTACCCATACTCTGTGTCCTGTTAGTTAAAGGATCCACACACAAGATTATTACTTAACTCAAAGGGATCCGAAAGCCTTCTTCTTCAAATAGGGGGAAAGATTTGTTAAAAGCTTAAGAAAAATTCACAAAAAAGTCTGTTATGAGTTCCATTACTATCCAGATGTCTAAAAAGCATGTTAAGCAGAATGATGACGGTATCCTTACTCCTTACTCCTCTGTGAGCTCTATATGCGAACTGCATACGATCCAGTGCATGTTCAGTATGCCTCAAAATCTCAGACCTGGCCAGTT